GAACAGTGTTGGTCATCTTCAAATAAAAAATGATAAATCCACTCTAATTTCACTGTCTAAAGTAAGCTATACACAGAATAGAAATTTCTAGAATACAGTATTAAGTGGAAATTTTTTTCTTACTATTTTACTATTTTAACAGAATACAACAATATCCTTGCTAAACATGTTCTTTTCCACCTAACAGTACCCATTTAGATGATATAAAATTTATTTAGGTTAGCCAAAATAAAGATATGACCAATACACTTGTGCAACACAATTAAACTGTATTTAATTCTCTTCACAATAAATTGCAGGGGCCATGCTTGCTTTTCATATGCCTAATGCAATGCCTGACAGAAGATGCTTCATAGATGTTTAATAAATAGCTAAGTACAATCTGCTATGCACATACAATTGAAATTGAGACAAGTTTACAGAGATACGTAAGCTGCACATAGGCTTTCTGGCTGACTTCATGGGATCCCACTGAAGACTAGAAGTAAATCTTCATATCCATAGAAAACTGGAAAGTTGGTAATTGTCTGGGTAAGGACCAAAAAAACAAAGTCAGGGAAACATGTCACCTAAGTATAAGTTGCTTTATAGAAATGGCAAAAGCAGCCTACTCATTCCTACAAGCTAATGCACCATTTACTCAACAAAATGAAATTTAAGTGCATCTTAAACAAGTATGTTTTTACATACATTTTTATCATTGCTTATTGAAAATTAATTACTTTTGTAATGTTTCATCCTATATAAAGATTAGAAAGAAGTAGTTTTTTTACTTATTATGAGTACTATGGCTACAGTAATTTGGTTATTAGTTAGAAAAGATAAGTCAAAGTTACAGATAAAGGAAAAAACTCCCAAGAAAGTAATTTTCATGGCATGACTACCATGAAATTATAGCAGGAAACAAGGGAAAAAGGAAGGAGAAAAGAGTAATTTCATATTCCTTCAATAATGAAATTCAAGCATGTTTAACTCTACAAATATAGATTATGACAAACCATCAGTAGATCCTATTGTGCACCAAATATTATACTGAAAATGAGGGACATAAGTTTTAACAAAATACTTTTGTCTATAACTAGTTCATTAAGACAAGACTCAGAAGCAAACCATTAAAGCACACCATGAATTCTCTAACTTTTTATAAATATGGGTCCTCAATACAAGATTAAGAAATACAAGTACTGATTAACTGAAGATTCAGAGGGAGAAAGCATTAAAGAAAGCTGAAATAATTCTTAAAATTGTAATAACTCTAATTCACTAGTGAAACTACTACTTGATTAAAATATTAACAAAAATATATTGAATTTATAAATAGAAAAAATTACAGCTGTCAGGCCATGTATCTTCATATTCTTAGAAAAGACATGTCTTCTTATAAAATGTTAGTGCTATCCACAGAATTGAGCCTGATAGTTTCATTTTTGACAAAAGGCAATGAGGTAATACAGCATAGTAAGTATAATGACACGTGAGTTATACAGTTCCTGAGTTGCCCACTTCACAGGCCTTGGAACCTTGGGCAAGCTCCTTAGCTCTCTGAACTTCTACAATATGGAAAATGAAGAATGAATCCCAGGGCTTTTGGCTCTTTAATCCTACAGACTCAGAAGACTGAGATTTGAGCATCACGGTTTGCATAAAAATCTGAAAGCCTGTTATCTCCAATTAACCAGCAAAAAATTCAGAAATACAGGTTTGGCTCAAGTGGTAGAGAGCCAACCTAAGAAAAGAAAATGAAAATGAAGAGTTAAATGCCTCCACGATAGCTTCTAGTTGAAAAATTACCATCCCAAAATATCACTAGTTCTTAATGTTTTTAAAATAAGCCATAATAAAAGCATAATAAAAGGTTTTTTAAGCATAAATCATTATCTGACAGAGAGAAAGTCTGGAATCTTCCAATCATAAAGGGTTACCCTGGGGGTGGTAGGGTAAGGAATGCTTCCAAAGGAAAACGCAAAGTAAAGGCATTAAACTCAAGACTATAAATTTTAACTCAGCTGCCAACTGGGCAACTCCTACTACAATTACCTATACAATCTGCTTACTTAAAATTGATTTCTTTAGTAGGTTCTACTTCTATCTCTTACAATAAGGTTTCTGAGGTTTTAATGTGGGGGCAGAAAATCTTAGGTGAAACTACAATGGTATTATTGATGTTAAGAGAAAAACTTGAACTTGGTACAGATTTCTGTTTATGTGAACCATTACAATTCAGAGAAATCTAAGAAACTACTAAATCTATAAGAGGAATGAGAGAATTATGAACATATTGTTTACCATACAGCTTATTTTTCCCTCTATGTATAAATGTATGCTTTTTAAAAAAACACAATATTTAAGATTTTAAAGAACAAGTTTCTACATAAGTAATTCTTTCAGTCACTAAAAGATGAACATATTTTGTCTTGCTTTATTATAAAAAAACTAAGATATCAATAGCATCATCATATCTTCATATTTACTTCCAATCTTTCTATGATTTCAGTATTTCTGATCCTTCCTAGTTACTAAATTGCAGCTTTCCTATTACCAGTCTGATAAAAATATCACCACTTTACAGAAGAATATTTTTGTTGACATAAAATATGGGATAAGAAACACTAACACTGTTTTTAACAAGTGGGAAAAGAAAAAAAATGCTTGTGTGAGAGAAAAAGAGAGAAGGAAGGAGGGAGACTGGATCAGGAAAGAGGCAATGAAGGAGGGAGAAGAATGTGTATATAAATTTGCAAGGAAAGGGATAAATGTAAATATGAAATAAAATACCACTTCCCAAAGTAAGCCCTAAGTAAAAGGCCTACACTAGAAATAAACTTTCTAGCTTTTGTGAAATACAGCACTGAAAGAAAGCTATTCAGTAAGAACATACCATGCAAAAAAAGTAAAATATTTTTCATCAAGATTGTTATTCTATAAACCTAAATCTGGGTTTATCTTTCCATTTGTATCTAAGTACAATGGATACACTATAACTTCATGATGTCTTTGACTCATGAAAACATATGATAGAAATCAGTCCCCTTTTACATAGTGAACAATTTGTTTTAGTACCCTGAAAGATGAAAAACTCATCTCAATTTACAACGGTAAATAAATAATTCATTTAAAACTGAAAGTGGTACCAATCCAGCAAACTATTGATGGAAAGGTTTGGCCTTCCATGAAGCCAGAACAACATAAAGTTTTCAGTGGGGATTACTTGTTCAGACAAGTTACAAAGATTAGAAAAATACCCAGTTAATTATGAAATAGTTCATCTTCTCATTTTATGGAAAATAAGTATCAGGAATGTATGTGGGAAAAGACAATACCAGCATTTAAACTTTAAGCATTTTCAGCTTTGAACTTAATAGACTCAAACATGAAACACATATTTAGCATAAAAGCAATCATACAAGTAAAAACTTAACCAAAGGCCTCTATCAATTAAAAATGTGAAATCTGCTATGCAATTCAGACAAAACGAAAAATGATGAGATTAAATCCCCTAACGCAAAAACCAGTCAAGTCCTCCAACCCTCAAGTCCACATCCAAACCATACAGTAGCAAAAAGGGGAAAACACTCAGGTCTCCAAATGAAAAAGCAGTTCCAATACAATCCAGATCCCGACATTTTCCCACTCAGAAACAAATGCAGTAGAGCTTTCCTTGGGGAAAGAGAGGGGGGAAAAAGCTCTCCAAATGAAAAATTTTAAGTGACATCTAGAAAGTGTGCCTCTTTCTGTCTCCTTCCCTGGCGCCTCGTTGGAAAAAGGAGGGGGTTGTTTTTGTATTCTCCCCCACTGGAGCAAGGCACAATCAGATGTTAGGTGGAGGAGAGAACCCACTTTTGACAACAGCAAATAAAAATAAAAGTGCCCTTCCTCCCCTGACAGGATGGACACTCCAGCTCACACATCACTCCTCACTCCAACCCCTCCTTCACTCCCCCCCCCAGCACCACCCCCTCCTCACCCCGGAGCTCCACTGCGTATGAGGTTTGGTGCTACTGTTGCCCCGGAGTGAAAGTCAGAGCCAGAGGAAGGCAATGAAGCCCCCACAGATACACTTACCTTTCCTGCCCCCCACTTTTGAGTGCCTTCCCTGGAGCTGTGGAGGATGACACAAAGGGTAATAAAGGGGGGAGTGGAGGAGGAGGATGCGAAGGAGGAGGAGGAGAGCTGGGGAAGTGGCTGCTCCTGGGTGTAGTGAGATGTCTCCAGCCAGGGCCAAGCAGCAGCAGCAGCAGCAGTAGCAACAGCAGCAGCAGTAAGCAGCAGCAGCAGCAACAGCAGCAGCAGCAGCAAAGGGTCTGTGTTGCTAAGAGGCTTTTGGTCTCTTTCTCTCCTCCTCTCACGGCCAAAGAGAAGGGTGGAGGGGGCTCGGGAAGGAGACGAGTGGAGGGGTGAGGGGGTAGGAGTCGTGGATGGGGGTTTTCGAAGAAGAAGAAACTCCTTCCCCTTCTCTCTCAGGCTCAATCCCCCTCTCAGGCTCCGAGCTGGAGGGTGGGGGAAGGAACTCAGCCGCCTTCCCCCCACCCCCCTCAATTCAAGGTTGATGTGGGGTAAAATTAGTGTCCTGTCCCTTTAAAAATAGAAATAAAAGGTGCCCCCCCTCTGCCACTGCCTCTCTCTTCATCATCAGCTGCTGCTGCTGCTGGGGTCTCTCTGCTGGGGGGGGGAGGGGGGCTCGGGTAGAAGAGACGGGAGGCACTCACTGCGCATGTCCCGCTCTGACGGGAGGCTGGTTGGTTGAAGGCAGTAGGAGGGGGAGGGGAGGAAATGAGATGTTTTCCCAGAAGGCTTCGAGGCACTCGCGACCCGGAAGACATTGTAGCAGGGGGTAGCGGGGCGGGGGCGGGGAGAGGGAGGAAGTCGCTACTCTTTAACACCCCCAGCTCCCACTTCCCTCCGAAAGGAAAACGGAGGAACGGAAGTGGGCGTGGACGGAGGCGCGTCGAAATCACGTGCTTGGGCTGGGGGGCGGGGAGGCGAGGTGGGAGCGGCGGCGCCTGCGCGCGGGTCCTGTCGGGAGCCGCTGTGTACGTTTGGCCCCAGCAGGTGAAGCTGAAGGGAGAGGGGGGAAAAGAAGAGCGAGGGAGAGCGAGCGGTGGAGCGGTGTGTGAAGTCGTTGGATCCCGGGTTGGCTCCGGTAAAAGCAGGGTTTTCTATGGGAAGAAATGTGGAATAGTCTGGCCCTGGCCGGAGAGCGAATAGCAAGTGGGAGGATTGAAGGTCGTGCTGACGGGGAAAGAGGCAGGCCGGGCTAGGCCTGCAGGCCGAGGGGAGCTGGGGGGCTCCTCGGTCTGGAGACCCCGGCGGCGCGCGGGGGCGCGGGCGCCGCCCCGGGGAGCGCGGCGCACGCTGGGGTGGCCGCGGGGGAGGGCCGTGACGGGCCCGGGCACCCACCACTGGGCTCTGGGAAGTCGCCGCCGCTGCCCCGTGACTTCCTCCTCCCCTCCTGGCAGTCCGTCTGTGTGGGTCCGGGAGGGCCGGGCCTGGGTGGCTTTGCTTATTATGTTGGGTATTATTATTGGTGTCCTTTACTGGAATTCTGGAGAGGCAGGGCCGGGAGGGCCGGGGCGGGGGGAAGGGAAGGGCTTGAGTGAAATTTCCCTCCACCCCTCGCGTGGTTGCAGCCGCACCAACACGACTGCAGAGTCTGTAGTGTTGAGTTTGATGGTTGATGGGAAAAAGGTATTATTATCTTCGTGTGCTTTCCTAGCGTGTACGTCAGAAAAAAAATAGTGTTTATTTTAATGTAATTTTAATGTTATGAAGGTGTTGTACGGAGGGGTTACAATTCCACGAGTTAGGTAATGACTGCAGTTCTTTTTGAATAATGTCCCCCTTCCTTCATTTTCCCTGTTTTCCCCTGCGAGTCCACAGTTTATTTTTTACCTAGTGTATATTGAATACCTTTGCTGCATTTGTTTACCCTTCCCAGTTGTTTTTTTTAATATGAAGTAACACTTTCACACTCATTATGTGCAATCTCCGTTAAGACAAAAATTACAAACTTTCGATTATCTTCTGTACTTTAAAGAATCATAGCTAAAGCCTTTTTTAACAACTATAAAACATTTTACACTTATTGAGGTATTTAAGTGTTATTGAAATCTGTCATGTGGGTTATTAGGGTACACTGTTAATTACAGCTACTATTTTTGTATGCTTGCTACTAGTTTTAGGGGATGGACACTATTTATGCATTGTAGTTTAGTGCTTCCATACTTTCTCGTTGTATACAATAGTCATTAAAATTAAGCTCCTCTGCTTTAAATTTTTCTTCATTTGGAAGCCATGTGTATGTAGTACCACAATTAATCTCCCTTAATACAGCTTTTAAATCTTTTTTTGTGGTAAGGTACTTAATATGTGGATACTCGTATAAAACCAATATATAGGCTTTTGAATAACTATAAATTGAACTCTGTCTTCACAGAGACAAAGATAGCAGTGACACTTGAGAGTAATCCCTCACTAATTGCTCATTGTTTCCCTCCCTCAACCTTTCCAGCTTGTAAGTGTCCTGGTTTTTGTAACTATTTACTGCTTTCTAGTATCTTTCAACCACCAGTCATGTCAGCATTGCTAGACAGTGCTTTTGTCTGTATTTTTCTGTGTACACATTGTATATGTATCACTTTATATATTTTGTCTTATTTTGCTATAGTCCTGCCATATTCATATAGTTGTGTTTCATATGTCTTTGTTGTGATGTAGTAATGTCTGTAATATAGAATAGTATTTTTAGGACAGAACTACAATTTAGTCTAATATTAAAGGACACTTGAGTAGTGTTCAGTTTTTGGCAATTACGAACAGTGCCACGATGAATATTTAGACATATTCTAATGCACAACACCGTCATGAGTATTCATACACTTTGATTCTAATATACACAAGCATGTATTTTCCTACATTACATATATTAGTCTTCAATACCCCTCGATTATACCAAACTTTAGCGCATCTATCATGTTATATTCCCACAGCAGTATATGGCAAAGCTAATAATTGTTTCAGTTTAACTAATCCCAATAAGTGTAATTTTCTTTTTTTTTTGGGGGGGGGTCCGGTCATGGGGCCTGAACTCTGGGCCTGGGCGCTGTCCCTCAGCTCTTCAGCTCAAGGCTAGCGCTCTACCACTTGAGCCACAGCGCCACTTCTGGCTTTTTTTTTTCTTTTTGCTTATGTGGTGCTGAGGAATTGAACCCAGGGCCTCAGGCATGCAAGGCAAGCGCTCTACCACTGAGCCACCTTCCCAGCCCTAAGTGTAATTTTCATACTGTTTTAATTTACACTGTCCAACTTACTTTTTGAAAAACGTATTGTATTGACTGTATGGATTTTTTTCTTGTCTTTTTAATCATCTTGGTAAGAATTTTGTGTCATAATTCTATTTTCTTTTCTATTTTGTTCAAAGATTTATAGCATTGCAGCAAATTTCTTCTCAATGCTTGAAGAATTACTCACTTGAACTGTATCTGCTGTGAACAAAAACTTTGTTCACAGGGTGTGATCAGGGTGTGGCTGTGTTGCCCACAGTGGCTTTGCACTTGAGACCCTGCTCAGACCCTGCTCAGTCTGTACCTAGGATTATAGGCTAGTGTACCTGAATAAATTTTTACTTTTGTTTAGTGTTGATTTGAATTTGAAAACCGGTTCTTGAGTACAAATCATATTGTTTGGAAGTAGGGATAATTTGTAACTTTTCTTTATTATTTGGATATCTTTCTCTTACCTTATTGCTCTAGATACTATTTCAAACACTATTTGAATAAGAATACAGAGAGTGTATGGGCTGGGAATATGGCTTAATGGTAGAGTGCATTCCTTTCATGCATGAAGCCCCAGGTTCACTTCCTTAGTACCACATGCACAGAAAAAGCCAGAAGTGGTACTGTGGTTCAAGTGCTAACCTTAAGCAAAAGAAACTCAGGGGCAGTGCCCAGACCCATACTCAAGCCCCAGTACTGACCAAAAAAAAAAAGAATACAGAGACCCATACTCAAGCCCCAGTACTGACCAAAAAAAAAAAGAATACAGAGAGTGGAAACTTGCCTTGTTTCAGATTTTAGGGGAAATGCTTTCAGTTTTTCTCCAATTTATTGTAATGCTGGCGACTGATCTGTCATATGTAGCCTTAGTTGAGGCATGTTCTATATAGTCCTTTTGTTTCTTCATGACTTTGATCATGAGGGTTTTTGTCACAGGCATTTTCTGCCCCTCTCAACTACTTGGCATTGCAGACTTGGACCACCATGATTAGCCCTTTTTTTTTTTTTTTTTTTTTGAGATAGGTTCTTTGTAACTTTCTTCCTAAAGGAGCATAATTCCATAGGATTACAGGTATGAGACACCATGCCTAGCCTCTCTTGGGAGTTTTTTATTATTATTGCTTGAATTTAATTGCTTCTTAATGATATATTTTGGTTGCATTTATCATCTTTGTTCAAATTGGTGGTCCTATGCACTTAAAAATTATACATGTGTAGATTTTCCAGCTTCTTGAAATGTAATTTTTTTTAGCATATTCCTCAATGATCTTCATTGCTTTCTGTTGTAATATCCCTCTTAAATATCTAATTTTATTAACTTGGGTCTTTTGTTTCTTACAGTTATTTTGGATAGGATTTATTAATCTGATTATCTTTTCAGAAAACATTGTTTCATTGAGTTTGTGTGTGTGTGTGGTTTTGTTTTTTTTTTAGTCTCCATTTCAGGATTAATTACAGCCTAATCCTTACAATTTCATTCTGCCTACTGATTTGGGGTTTGACGTGTTACTGCTTTACTAAAACTGTAAGTGCGTGATTACTTTTATTTCTTTAAAATATTTCTGAGCTTTATTTTTGAGGTAGACACTCAAAGCTATAAATGTTTAAACTGTCTCAGCTCCTTTCCACAGGTTCAAAGTTAAAAACACTAGACTTCAAAAGACAAGGTAAAATTAATGTAAATAAAATACCTCAACTCCTTATGATTGCATGGTGAAATTATATATTTATGTAGTAATATCTACAGCATACTAGATTTAGTAAGATCTATAAATGACTACAACAATATTTGTGGGAAAAGGTAAATCTACATCATCTATAAAAATAATGCCTAAGATTGAGAAGGTATTTTAGTATATAGTTCATTACCTATAGTTCAGCTCCAAAGAGCTAGCCAAAATATTGTTATACCCTCTTTTTTTGTTTGTTTGTTTTGTTTTGCAAAGGACAAATAGGTTCCAAGCCACCTAGCCCCCTATCATAACCTTCCTGGGTAGACTTGGGGTGAGTTCTTTCCCACTTTAATCTACTATAAGACAGAGATGACAGGAATGACTATAGAGAACTTAACCTGTGACAAAGATGTATGAGCTGTTTTTAAATAAATCCTGTAGAAGCAGATTTTTGTTTTTGATGATATTTATCTTGAGGCAGGGTCTTACCAGATAACCTCGGACCATGTCAACTTTAATTTGCCATTTTATTTGCCTCTGCCTCTGGAGTGCCGAGATTACAGCATGGGCTACCATGTCTTGCTACAAGCAGAAACCAACTACCTAAAAAGGTTTTTTAATTTCATTAATTTGGCTTATATTGTGGAGGGAAATAGGATTTAAAAAAAAAAAAGAAAACTAAAAGTGAAGTGTGAGTTAAATTAAAACATGTAATTTTAACTACAAACAAGTTATCCTGTGTAAGTACTTTCCCACTGCCCAATCCTATTAACCCTGTTTCCTCTATTATTAAGTCTTGCTTTAGTATATGTTTGTTATAATTGATACTGAAACATTATTCTCAATACAAGTCCATAGTTGACAATAGGGTTTAGTTTTTGTGTTTTTACATTACATCGGTTTTCACAACTGATAATAACCACCATTTTGGTGTCATGCAAACTGGTTTTATTGTCCTTACAGATCTCTTGTATCCCTTTTCCTTTTTCTTGAACATTTGACAGCCACTGATGTTTTCACTGTTGCTGTAGTTTGGCCTTTTCATAATCTATGAAGTTGGAGTCATAAAATGTGTAGGTTTTTCCAGTTGGCTCCATTTGCCAAGCAGTAAGTAATCTAAAGTACCTCCATATCTTTTCATAGCTTGATAACTTCTATGTGTTTTTAATCCTGAGTATTACTCCATTGTATACCTC